CAATATTTCTTGTTTTTATTTAAAGTTCCATACAATTTAAATCGTTCACAATAGATGAACCCATAGTCAGTCACATATAATCTTACTGTATTTCTATATGTATTCTGACAAACAAAAAATCACTGCGCGATAAAAATGGCAATGCCCTGTAAATCCGGGATTTGGTTCGCCCTCTCGTTTCGTCCCTCGGCGTGTGACGACCCGGCAGGGGCAGGGGAGCGGGACGAAAGGAGCGAGGGATTACAGGGGTGTAGGAGATATTGGTCAATCCCACCGGTTCAGCGCTAATAACCGTGGAACACGAAGACGAGTTATGACAGGTGGTGTCGTGGCTCGTCCGGGTCAACGCGGTGGGAGCGGGATCGCGCCGGACGACGTGTGCCATCATTGTTCTCTTGCCACCCCCGCGCGTCTTGTATTAGCCGGACGAGCAATCCCGTTCGAAGGTGCTGACGGGTTCCTCGGTTAGTCCTCTCCTCCGTGTTACATCCCGGGTATCCCTGGTTATGGCACGCTTCATTGCCGATCGACGACCGTCCCGGACAGGCATCTGTTCTAGAGTTCAGACAATAAAACCTGAGGTCCCACCCGGAATAATATCCGCGTTAAAGGCCAATAATCGTAAACGCTGGTAGAAAGCCTGTTCCTATTTTATGGACGCACGAGCAACCGTCTCTCTCTCTCTATCTCTCATAAATTCTGTCGCGAAGATGGTTGGATCGGTTGACGAACCATTGCGGAAATCGTGATGGGAATTCTGAGATTGTTAGGGAACTGTATTAAAAGTTTACACACCGTGAAAAGATGTGAACTTTTTAAACGATCCGGCGTTTTCGAAATCAGAGCCGCCATGCTTTCAACGAAATGGACGCTGATCTCCGGTAAATAACGAGAAGCGAGCCCGTGAATTTGGCTATTAACCGGCCGCGCTTTAATCCCTGAATTTCGGTTACAGTTTGCACCAAATTATAATGCTCGGTGGCGTTTAATCGCGGCCAGATTAATCCGTAAAATTACTCACTCTTCCGGCCGGTTAACACCGGGGTCGGGCGTTAAACCGGTTCGCGATCCACCGTCCGTTTCTTTGATAGACTGTCGATCGGTGCCGTTTCCGAAAACGCGTCACGCCGCCCGTTTGATCATTACCTACCCGGGATAATCCGAAGCGTCCGCCTCAAAGCGAGGCATAATTATTATCCCTCTGTTCAAAGTCCCGTCGCGCGAGAGGCCCTGAATCGGCGTCAGCCCCCAGGAAACCGGGGGAACCTGGATCGATCCGATCGGGTCTCCCGCGCTTCGGGCACGTATCTCGCTAATCGATTCGATTCATGCAACGCCCGCCTGGAATTTCAAATAGCCCTACCCCGGAAGAATACGTCGGCTACGTCCCTAATCACGACGTAAGCGTCGCCGTGTGTGGGGGAGGGGAATGGGCGAGCATAAGCAAAATGAGTTTCGAATGCGCGTGACGCGTGTCGTTAACGAGCCACGATGGGTTTTGCAGGTGATGATAGCGGCACGCTGTGGAGGCTAAGGTGGCTGTCGCGGCGGCTGAGGAAGTGGCGAGGTTCGTGAAAATCGGCGCCGGGAGCGGTCGATCCGGGCAGCGGTAGTGGTGGCGGAACGGCAGGGGTAAGTGGTGTCATTATCAATAACCCTTTCACATCCCTCGTCGCACGATGCTCGGAATCACGAAAAATCTGGTTGAAATGCAGTTCTCGAAATATAGAGGAGCGATTTTTTTTTACACATCGCACATTTGGTACAGATTATCAATGTAATACGTGCCGGAAATTCGTTTGGAAAATATTGGCTTAGTTAGTTCGATCGGTTTCCACGTCACAACATGAACACCTGAAATTTCTGTTCAGAAATTTCAAAATAAAACTGAACGTTACATGGATGTAAAATAAAACGTGCCGTTCTTTTATCGCGATTTCGATCATCGTGCGTCGTCCATTCCATCGGTGGAACTTACAGTGCTTTCTGTCCGAAAATCCCGAGAGATCCAATTTTATTTAAACGAGTTCTGTTTGCAATCTACTCGAGCAAATCGGAAATCAAATATTCCAGTAGATCCGTGACATTATGCAATCCGCCGCGTTGCATTCCCTAAAACCGTTCCGGGCTCGCAATTAGAATACTCAGCCGGAGAGCAAACAAGTTTTATCTGCAATTTAAAACGATCCGCGTCGGGCCGAATAGTCCTGATTGAAAATAACGGAACCGCGACGCGGATGGTCGATCGTATCAGGAAGGAAGGAGCCGATCGAACCGGCGGCAGGCCGCAGCGTTCGACCCCGGGGCATACCAATTCCCGTTGCCTGGCCGAGGTTAGACAGCGCGTCTCGCTAGTCTCTGCCTACGAGCGGAAAGAAATTGAGTAGGGAAAGAAAGCAGCCGGGGTAATCGAAGCCTTATTGAACGATTCCAGTCGATTCCCGGACGGAGTAATCGACTGGCACGATAGGAATCGCGAATTAAACCGTCCTAGGCTCGATTGAGGCATTATCTCCCGGGCATTATATGCCTTTCGTGACTACAGAAGGGAAAGAAATCGGTGGCCGAGACACGCGGGCATGGAATTAAGTAGCTCGACCAATGCGAATCGAAAATACAACCGTGATCCGATAACGCTATTTATCGCTGCACTGATTGTGCTACTAGGAAATGTACAATTATATCCTCGGGCCTTCGTCTTAATTGAAACGCCGCTATTGTTAATTAATCGCTGATCTTATCTTACACTCGTGGTTTTCTTCGAGGAAGGAGAATTTCAGACACGACCGACGGATAACCGGTTTCGTCACTCTATTAACCGATAGAATAACTCTGTTCTCTGTTCTCTACAATCATGTATGTCCCAATTTTTATTCACATCAAGTTCATTGCATACAGATTTTTATTACATGTCTCAAACTTTTGTCATGCAGCCTTAAGCCAGTGAATAGACGTGAACAGAAATTGGGACATTTACTGCATATATAATTTTATTTCCTTGTGACAAAACTTTTTACGTCACGTGCATAATTACGTACGAAAGAACATAAGAGAGGAGATAATGCAATTCCTTCCTACGAGGGGGGCAGAATAATTTCGCATTTGAGGGCAGAGATTTGGCCTATCCCATTAATTATTTACACCGAATCCCTCCATCGGATCCCGAGACCGTCTAAACTAGCTTGCACGCTCGTTTATGATTTACAGGTACTATGGGAGCGGGGGTATGGGGGGCGGAGGAGGGCTACAAGCCACGGACCTCCGGCGAAGGCTTGAGTCCCGGTGTTCAGGAAGCACTTTTCCCCAGAGCCCTCGTTCCTTAAGGCACGATGCCGACTCCCGGGCACAAGGAAACGCCGCTGACCAGGAAGAAAGGTAAACCTCTAATCTACTCCGTCTTCCATTTTCTCATCCCATCAATCGTCCATCTGATACCTCGGAATTTATTTCCTAATTAAATTCAAAATATCTCCGGATTCGTTCTGAATATTTGGGTAAACCCGTTTCCTAACGCGGATGTTTACTCGGTTATTCCGATAGAGTCGACGTGCAAACGACTCTCGCTTCCGGTCAGCCGACGTGCGCGGGCTCCTCGCGGACGTGCAGACGACAGGACGAGAAGAAGGATACTTCGAGGTGTTCGAACGGCGTAATCGGTTCGCTGTATGGGAAGCTACGGCTCTCCGTTGGGAAACTCGTAGCTGCTGAGGATGAGGACGCGTTCGATGGGAAGAGGCATCGGCTTCGCAGGTGGTGTCGCAGGGACCTTCGGTGGATCGCGGATGTGGCGACGAGGACTCTGCTCCTTAGCATCGTGCTGTTCGTCACGCCAGGTACGTTCCAATCATAGAAACTTAAGACCGTTGAAATTTTTAAGTCACAGTAAAAATTTCTAAGTATATAAAATAAAATTAGAATTCTTTAAACAAATTAAAAAGGAATTATGTATAGGAATTGAAATGTCATTAAATAATTATGGAAACATACAAGACTGCATGTCGTGACTGCAGAATCAATTGTTTTTACGTTTGCAATTTCTTATGTTCAACATACGTTTAATCGTTGATTAAAATCGTACATCTAATTAATAATTTAAACAATTAAATTCATGGTTTCCATACGTGTACGATATGATAAGAGAACTCGTAATTGAAACTAAAACAGCGATACAGTGGAACAGCTCGACGATAAAGACGACTTCGTAAGAGTTGATTCGTTACCTCTTTAAACGTAAGCGTTCGAGCACGCGTTTGTTTCATTATCGTTCACCGGCTTACGGGGCTGGTTCATTAATTACCGGTGCTCGCTAATCAGAACAAGTCTACCGGGTCACGGTAATAGCTTTCCATCGTTCCTCAAGTACGATCTACCACTACTACTACTACTACTACTACTGATCGATCGGGTACAGGATTCACGATACCGTGGCGTGGCTGGTTGGCTACGCGTTAGGTCAGATCCGTAATGACGTCGATTGAGATCGAGCAGAGAGTTTCCGTCAAGATATCTCTTGTAATTGGTAATACGTGTCTGCGTCATAGTGTACAATTACGCGAGGATTCGCTCGTACCACGTGTGCATGCACTTGCCATCAAACCTACAGGATTATCAGATGACGAGCCATTGAAGCTTCCAGCCGTTCCGCTCTCCGATGAAACGATTTTCACGATTTCATTGAACGAAACAGTTGAATTCTCGGTTAATTCATTTTGGCAAATCGTCCAATTAAAATGCTTGTCATGCTCGTCTTGCTCGTTCCACTGTAATCTAATCGCAACGAATCATTTATAAAAACCTCTTCGAACGTCACGTGGCGGCTAGCGACGTAAAAAAAAAAAGAATCGTCGATTCTTTTTGCAACTGTGTCCGTACGATTCTTTGGCCGTTTCGAAGCGCAAACAAATCCATTGGCGATCGATGGGCGACGACAAAAAGCCACGATAGGGGCGCTTAACGGTTGATTACTATTCAACGAATCGGAACGAAACTTGAATGCGGCGAGGAATAACTCGCGCGTGTGCGCGCACGCGAGAATTTACCCTCGCCGTTTATTTACGACTGTTACCGCGACGGAGGTATGCGAAGCCGCCCGGCGCACTTAACCGATTTACCGGGGGAACGGGATGAATAAAGTGACGTCAATGCGTGCTCGTTTCAAAGGATGTTACTTCTTTCATTTCCCTCCCTCTCCATCCCTCTCCCTCTCTACCTTTTTTTTTTTTTAATTCGCGAGCACGCAACGCGAGCGCCCTCGCGATGCTCGTTAGCTTCATCAGCGAGAACAATTTCATTAAAACTCCGGCTTTCCCTCCACGGAATGCTTGTTTAACACGAGCACGCCGTGTCCTGCTAATGACGCGTGTACGGAAATTAAACACAGCCACGCGAACCGATGCGATTAAAGCTCGCCGGTTTTTTTCAATTAATAAAAAAACGACGCCCGCTTTGTGAAAAACGACAACGTCTATCGACGAGCTGTCGATCTACCGTCTCGATATTAATAGTATGAGAAACGTGAAAGGTTCAGATTACTTGCGTATCGAATGTTTGCAAACTTTTTCGGGGATAATATATGACCGTTTTGTTATGAAGTTCGAGGAATCTCGTTTCGTAAAGGGAGGAGAAAATTACCGAGGGGCGACGGAAGGAGAGCCGGGCGGTGAAAAGGAGATCGCGCAACGAAATTAGCAGAAAAGTTGTTTAATATAGAAAGTTGGCTAAGTCTTGAGAAACGGCTGAAAGAAGACGGCCATTGTGATCGCCACTTGTGCCGCGACTGGCGTCACAACTTCGCCAGGTTGATGCTCGTAATTTATTTATTTGCCAATTATTCTCCGTCGGGCCATTTCTCGTCGCGCGCCGAGCACCTCTCGGACCCGTTCGCGTGGCCAGTTTTTAAATTGATTCCGTCGGACGAATGGACTCGCTGGGCCGCGTAATTTCACTGAAAAGGCCAGGCCAGGGCAAGCCGGTTAAGGAGACTCGCCGTCGTCTTGTGTACGCAAACGAGCTTAGTTCCACCGATAAGCTGCGGTCAAAGGAACCGGGCTTCGGACTCGCGTCTTTCAATTACTTCTTCTCGTTCCTCGCCGTCACTCTGCGCCCATTAGATTTTAAATACTTGCACCATATTGTTATACAAATTAATGTAAACATTTGGTCAATAATATCATGATGTAAAAACATAAGGTGTGTTCTTCCGCCGTGTTCAAATGTGTCGCTGTTTGCGCCTTCCACTCATCGGCCATATTGGAAGTACGATGACCAATTGTTTATTTCAAACACGCATATATATTACACTCCGAGTACCTAATTTTTGACATGTTTACGATTTTAAAATTCGCTCTGTTTTAATATGTAGCGTGATTGGTTAGAAATCCAAAATGGCCAACGAGTGGAAGTGTTCAAATGGATGCGCAAGAACACACCTTATGTTTTTACACCATGAGTAATATAACATTTGCATCTGGTCCGATTCAGATCGATTCTATTGGAACCGTCACTTTAATTGTTTACAGCAATATTGTGAAATCAAACAATAAACAAATATAATAATAGAATGAACGGATCAGTAGCGCGGCTAAATGGATGAACACTAGATTAAACGTTTATGACAATATTATTCTGAAACGGATGAACGCGGATTTGAATCGTGTCAGGGGAACCGTGTACAATTTCTGAAAATCAGTTTCGTCGAACAGAGCTGACTTCGGGACGTTTTCTCGATGGTAGGAGCCAGGGAAAGAATTCGAGATACGCGATACGTAGATTAGGTATCGTCCGGCTGCGATTAAATTCCTGTGAAGATTGTCGGGTGAGCGCGGTCCAAACGGTGGCCATAAATTGCGCGGCGCACGAGGCGTCCGGCGTGTCGACGCGTTGCCGGTGAATGATTATGGTTTCTTCCGTGTAGACCGGCTTCAAAGCGGCCCAGATGGCAGGCGATGAAACGAGTTGCAAATGACGTTGTCCCGTCTGTTCCCGCGCCGCCGGAGGGTACGTTGCCCTTTGGTTAAAGCCCGTTCCACGCGATGCAACCTGGCCAACGGAAGTGGCGATCGATCGGGCCGGGGGTACAAAAAGAGGGTCTTACGTTATTGCGAGCAATTTGCCGATACTTCGTCGTTGGCTCGCGCGATTTTCGATTCGTGATTAAAGTGCACCGCGCGAACGTCGAAAGCTGATATTCAGCCCGAGGAGCATCCAATTACGGTAAATAATTAAAACCTATACTCGAGAGGCGAAAGTTAGCCGAGACGAGGGGATGCTGTGTTAGCCTCTGGTTAATTGCTCCTCGCGCGCCATCCCCGGTCTGCGTGCGCGTCAAGCTTAAAGCTCGTACGCTTAATTATTTAGCTTACACGCTAACGATACGTATACACGATACACGACTTAGAGCCGATGGAGTGGCTGCTTAATTTCACGGTTCGTCGCTGGCTGAAAATTCGGCGCCGGGATGAGGAGCACCTGGGAGGGACGAGGCCTCTCGTCTCCTTCTTGACTACGTGCACGCGCGGGCGGGCAATGAAATCGAGTTTCTATCTCGTTACGCGATAATCGTGTGTCTTGAAAAATGTGCAGGAGACGCGAGAGATGCGATCCGCTGGTGTTTGTGTAAAAATTTGACTAATTCCGGAAGAAATTTCAACGTCCGGAGTAGCGACAGCATGGAAATAGTTGGAAGGGAGGTGGACAAAGCGGGACCGTTTTCACTTTAAGTTTCCCTCTTCGGGTCGCTTTTCACGGGCGATCGCCGCTCGTTTTCATTCGTCTCGATCACGGATAGCCGAGTGGCCAGGCGAGCGTGCACGTGGTCTTTGTGCGTGAAATGAAAGACGAAAGGAAAACGAGAACCAAAGGGCTCGGAGTGCAAGGTGTCCCATAGACACAGTCCTCGTGATCGAATAGCAAAGCTTGTTCTGTATGAAGGTTGAGCCTCGTAACGTGACTTCAAATAACACGTAAGGTATTTAAATCTTCTTTCTCGAATTTTTTTATTTAGTCTGAATAAAAGATTAAAAAAATAAAAAATGATCACGCCGGTCCCTCTGCAACATCGTCACGTTACGTGGCTCACCCTGTATGACTGTTAATTTTATTGACACGCATACACGTATCGAGAATTCATAAAAGTCCATTAATAGCGTTGAAACGGAATCACTGTTTGTCACGAAAAGAAATATTATTTACCTAATACACATAAGCGAGTGCGATGCATCAGACGAGATGCCAGCCTGCCAATAACCCGGACAATAGCCGGTGACAATGGGAAAGGAAAAGCTCGAGTGGCGATCAAAGTCGCGCGCGCTCGACTCGACGCCGAAGACGGGGTGGGGAACGGGCCACCCACACCAGCCCCGTCGCACAGCTTTCGAAACTAATCTCCGACTCTGCCCGCTTTTTGCGCTTTGTTTGCTCCGTTTATCCGCCGTTTTTATCTCCGACGTTCCTTTTTCCAACTTTCGGTTTCTATTGTTCGTCGAACATCCTCAAACGGGGGACGCGATATCGCTTCATCGCCCACCGTCCGGATATTCGCGTCCCGAGTCAAACCGGACGGCCCGTATTGGCGTCGCTCGAATTTAGTTTCCTCTGATCCTAGTAGGCCCTTGCAACAGGTAGCAAACTTACTTTGCTTCTTAGACAGTCTCTTTCGATTCATCAAAGCAACTTCACGTCTCACTTCCTACGACTTTTCTACCGAGTGCTGAAATAATTTAATCACGGCTTCGGATCTGATCTGATTTTAATTCAACCGCGAATCAATACGCAAGCACTGGCAGGTCGTTGGCACGGTTTGGCGAGCTGTTTATGCGCGGGCGAGGTCTGTGGAAAATTGAACGACGAACGACGATAAAAACAGTTGTTCTCGGCGACTGGAACCACTCCCAACAACCAGGACTCGGTAATCGCAGTAATGGGACACGAATGGGCGTTGGGCGTTCCACCGTTTCCAATTGTTATGCATGCGTAGATACTTTGCTGCAAGAGAACTGTCACCATACCCAGAAACTGGCTCATCAGCGCTCGTTGCCTCTTGATAATTGAAATAAACCTGTGAACAGGTAAATTGGAACCGTGTTTTCCGAGCTAAACGAGTGGAGAATTCTGAAGAATAATAATAATTAATTAAACCCTTTGAGATTTCATTTGACGTGTCGCTCGCCATCGGAATATTGTTGCCGTGAAGCACTGTGCTCGGCTAACTTTTTAGGTTCAGCGTTCGCTAGCTCGCGTCAAAGGCAGCGGAAGCGAAAATCCGCGTACGAAGTTCACCGCAAAAACGAGAGTCGCCGACGCGATATGGGATCCATTCGAATAATGGAACAGACTTTCATACCTGTTCTCCCGCTTTGAGTTCCGCAGCGACGCGTTTTCCACGTACAAAGGTCCCTCTCTGCAATAAATCTCCCCGCGTGGCAAACGGACACGGGAGACGGCGACGGTCCGCCGTGCGGCTGTGTCGCGCGATCAAGTCCATTATTAGGATCGACGATTATTTGCGAAATTATTCCGTGACGTTTGCCAGGTCCGGGTGAACGACGACGGAGTCGTACGCTACGCGTAGTGTAATCGGTGGCCAAGGACACGATTCTTTGTCTCCGACGAATCCGCGCGGCTGTGTAATAAAAAGAAATAAGGGGGCAAAAATACGAGGGCGGAAGTTGTCTCGGTAAATCACGAAGTTTGGAACGCGACGTAACTCAGCAGAAAAGTTAGCGGTTGCTCGCTCGCTGGAGAGACCGGGTTTTTCGCGAGATATCTATTGGCCGTCATGTAGTAACGTAATAAAATCGGCGAGCCGGGGCTCGGGAATACACCGAGAAACACGGCCGTCGATGCAACCGGCTTTCAACCGGAAATAAATATGTTCTCCGATGACGTGTTTCAGGTCTCTGCCACCAGGACGCGGTGCACATTACGGCGATCCTCGGAGAGAGCGTTGTCTTCAACTGTCACGTAGAGTTCCCCGGTGAGCACCCAGTGCCCTACGTTCTCCAGTGGGACAAGAAGGTAGGCGACTCGGTACGATATCGGACGACACCCTCTGCTCTCTATATCCGTGAGTTAAATACGCGGGCCCCGCTCACTCGCAGCTCGACGATCAAATCCGCTCTCTGGTATCGACCGATCGCGTGGACGTAATCCGCGAAATCGGCGCTCGTTCACCCGTTATTTCACTTTTCCCGAATAAAATCTGCGATCCCCGAAGGGGATAGGACGTTTCGGGTCGACCACGCTGGGAACAGAATCGTCGCAACGACTTCGTTCCCGCGGTTCTACGATTTCTTTTTAATTCTACCGGTCGAACATCGCGTAATCGGGAACTGGAGCATGAAAAAGGGCGTGGGAGAGAAGGTGGTGATGCGCGCTGGAGAGAGAGAGAGACAGAGTATCCGTACGGATGAATGGTGCTCTCGTGTGAAGCCACGCGATCGAATCTTCCACCCGCGCACCCACCGCTCCGTTCGCACCCATTGCTCTTTTTATCGTTTCCTCTGCCAGCCGCAGACGCGGTCACTTTCGTGTCTCTTTACGACCGCGAGCTGTCTCAATTTCCTATAAGATACATTCACCGTTGTTCAACGATTTTGCCAGACCCATCCTCCCAACAGCGGTCCCTAATTTCTAACGTGGAACGTTGCCTTCATAAATGAAATCTTCTCCTTCTCATTATTTTCTATAAAAATCAATCGGCGTATAAATCGGCGAGACAGACTCTTAGGTACCGTTTGCAGACGGAAATAAACACGGTTATATCGTGTCTCGAGCCAATACGTTTTCTTGAAAAACTGTGCTCCTTATTCTTGTTTACGACTGCGTTCGGCAAGCAACTCCAATGGACACGATCGGACCTCCGTATTTTCCTCTCTTTCTTGGACCGATAAGGCTTTCAGGTAACGCGCAACCCGCATCGAAATCCGCTGTATTTATTGCACGAAGCTGGCAGAGAGAGTTAAAACCGCTGCGCTAGGCAAAACATACTTTTGCCGAAGCCACGTTTCATAGTTTCGGTCTTCTTTTCGGTAAATAAATAGGAGAATTGATACCAGAAGTGGATGGAGAGGACAGGAAGCGGGGCCCCGTGAGCACTATAATATTAAAGCATATATGATTGCAATGATTGTTTTGCCGTAAATTAAAAATTGATTTTTTTCATTAACTAGAATTTTGTGAATCGGCTTACGTAATTGTTTCGTACGGCGGACAGTTTGTTTCGCTTAAATCATTCAGTATTTTTGTTCGCGATTTATGATTCGTTATCGGTTGGAATCGACGGCGAACGGGACACGCCTCTCGTTAACAGCCGGAGCGGGAATTTGGACTTCCGCTCGCGTAGTGTTCAATTAATTATTATTGTTGTCGACGTAACAGTATTATTATTGTTGATCTCTTTTACCACGGTATATTGTGTAATTATTTAACGTGTGTATTTGATACCCGGACTGGAGAGGGCAGAGCACGTTTTCTACGTCGAGCAACGACCAAGTCACCCGGTCGCAGTTTAAAACGCGTAGTGCGGATCATTCGCGCGGACCTCTCATCTCAGCATTTCACCCCACCGATTGATCATCGTGCCGACACGTACCGCGGGAACCGACGGGAGCGACGCTTTCATTTATTTATTTATTCAATCGGCAGAATCGCGAATTTTACGCGTGCGATATTTCCACCGATTAATGAATAAACGCCGGTTCGAAATTTCGGGCAGCGACGGGGATTAATTTTTTATTAACCGCGGTCGACAAAGCGTCGCTCCTTCTCGCGACGTATCCCTTTGTCGCCGAGAGTTCGTTGTACCGTTTCGAGAGAGAAAGAGAAAGACACGCCCGATTCCTCGTTCCTCGTCCCCCGTTCACCACCCGCCACCCCCGATTCGTAAGTCTCTGAGAATCTTCCTTCCAGTCTGCTGCGATGATCTTATTCCATCTGCGAGCAACCCCGACTGTCCATCAAAATCTATCTTTAAAGAACGTTTGACAAGCTCGAGTCCAATCGAATTCCCTGACTCGATTTACCTCCTTGACATAATTTCAAACTATTCCATTGAAATTTTATTGGCAATCGAATATGTCTCAGCTATTTTTATGATCGTACGTTCATATGAAAATCCAATTGCAAAAGTAGATCTACTTTCTTATTCATTTAGCCCGTCGAGCTTGTCGATCATCATGGGTAATGCACTTTCCTTTCCTCTCGGTGACGGAAATATCAGAAAATCACGTCTCTGTCTCTCTAACATCTGGTTGCTTCTGCATGACCCGTGAACCATCCGATCTGTTCCACGCACGCATCAACCGTCATTCTGCTCTACTAACATAAAAAAAAAAAAAAATGCGTTTCTCGAACGAATGACACAGACACGAAGCCGTCGATGAATTTTTAATAAGCAGGTAGCTCCGTTCCGCGGAAATCTACGAATCGGGTCGCACGCGAGCCACGATCGCGTATCTGAACATGCCACAAGACGGATGATCTCATATCGTCGGGGTAGCATTAAAAAATGATAGCCGCGCAGCCCGCGATGCATTATCTCGTTGTCGTTACAGCGGTCGCGGACTGCCTGCCTGCCTGACCGCCTGCCTGCCTGCCTGCATGCCGTAGTTTTCGCGAGACTAATCTCCGTGTCACGTGTGAACGTACGCCCGCGTCGTTACCGTTTAATCCCGGCCATTCCCGGGGAAAATATTGTGAACGAATGAGCCCGTTGGACGATCGTTGCCCCCGCGTCGTCGTTCGGAAAAGAATTTACGTCGGGAAAAATACGGGACGGATCGAACGGGTCTCACCTATCAAGGGAATCAACCGGGGTATCAATAGAAACCTTTTATTAAACAGCAAACGAACAAATACATGCAGTGATTGTAATAAACGTGAGAGGCTCTCCACCGAAAACAATTGGTTGACGTCATTTATTTCAGTACCGACTTTGATCAATTTTTTTTTAAACCGTCAGTCGACGCGGTCAGCGGCGACGGGTTCGCCGCTGGACACTGGATTTCGAGACGATTACCCGGGCGCGGGACGCATTAACCGTGAATTCAATATTGACTCGACAAACCTGCGTATCCATCGTCGTGTAATTAATTAATCGATCGATCGATCCCGCGGCACAATGCGATGATTGCCGCAATGACAAACGCTCCCAAACGGGGATGCCTCGTTCGCTTCTAAAACTGATGGTGGAAGCCGCGATCACCGGCTTCCCCTTTTGCTGCTCGCGGTTACTTTACCGTATAAATTGATTGCAGGCATTACGCGAATGCTCGTTTGCATATCATTAGTACAATGCTTATTCACGTCTCTCAAGAACTCTGATAAATAAGCAACTAGTGCTGGTTAAAAATATTTTCAGCTTAGGTGAGGTAAATGTCCCGATTTTTATTCACTGGCGCGCATTTTTAGAATTTAAAAATAATAAATATATAAAATAAATACGATGAAAAGTGTTTTTAATATCTCTCAACGTTATTATGCATGATTCCATCACGTTGTGAGGCTCAACTGGGTTGTAAAAAATTATTCAAGTACGGAACTTCGCACGTTTGGTGCTTCCGTTGTTACGCTTTTCATTAAAAATTCACAAATTTATGTGAGAATGTTTTAAAATAGGAGCTGGTGAAAGTAATTCGAATAGTATCAGTACGAATTTAATTATAGTACTGGAGAGGACGAGAATGGTTTCTTGCCGGGCGATTTCTCTGCCGCGAAACGGATTTGAAAGCGAGCCGAGAGACGTCGAGCAGCGGACTCGACGCGCCACGGCCATTCCCATTTCCACGGCGATCCGAGCAACGGGTTGGGGGCAGCCTGTTTTCTTTTTTATGCGCGCATAAATCAAGCGGGGTGGCCCCGGGGTTTCCGAAGCGCTTCACTGCCACCCCCTGCCACCCTCTCTCGATTCCCGTGCCACTGCGGCTGACAACTAATTTCTCTTCTCGTCCGACTTTTTTTCGTTTCCTCGCGCGTCTCTCGGTGCACGCGTCGCGATGCGTGCGCTTTTCCGCAAGATGGACGACCCTCAATGACAGTCTTAAAAGAATTGTTCAACCCTCGAAACCACCGACGATGCAGAAATACTTTGAAACTCGGAATGGACGAGCCAGACGATCTGTCTCGTGTTTTTACCCTCCGCCATGCGTGTACCAGCAGAGAAAACAGGGGAACGCCGGGCTTATTTGTCCCGCGTAAAAGGGTAAACCCCCATTAGACTGTCCGCGTCGGCGATACGAGGCTTCGCCGTCATATATAAGTCGCGCGGCGAGGACAGTTATCGAACGGCCCAGATCAATGGCAGGTAACGAAGCATCCGTGTGTCGTGCAATTGCATCCCATTTATCCGAACGACATCCTCGTGCCGACTAATGGAACAACCTGATAGACACTCGACCTCCCGTCGAGACTGTTTCCAGACAACCTTTCGAGGTCTCTCGAAAACGCGTTCGCTCGCTTCCGGTTCCCACGTCCAAACGCATATGTGAACAGCTTCCAGATTGATCCGAACGCAATTATGCCGCGCTATCGATCTCCATGCGCCGACGTCTCTAAGTATTTGATCAGCTAATCCCTTCGTACATAAATTGCTCCGTTCATTCGAGAACTTATTGCGAGAATTGTTAATCCCTCGGAAGTCATTAAACGTGTTCAAGGAATAAATACGAGCAAATAGCTGGAAACTTATGAGCTCGTAACGCAAAACTTGGGAAAAGGTTAGAAAAAGAGAAAAAGAGAGAAAGAGAGGAATAAAGGAAACAGAAATTTTACGGAGATACATTTGCATACGACCGCGGCTCGTCGAGGTTCCGACATTTCTAGGCTTTATACTTTATCCAGCTGGCATTCGCGGTGAGATTACACGGCGTCGCGCGACACGACGACGCGTCCGCGTCGTCCCTGCGAAATGTAAATTAACGAGCATACCTGGACCGTGTCACCGAAATAATCTTCCCTGTACGCTCGGGATTCCCGGGCTGTGAAAAGGCGTTAATACGGCGAATGTTATTTGACAAATTACGTTTCGCACC